TCACTTGGTAGACCAGGCTGTCCTCGAACTCACAGAGATCCGCCTGGCTCTGCCTCCCGAGTGCTGGGATTAAAGGAGTGCGCCACCACCGCCCGGCGAGGCCCATGTTTTTAAACTCTATATTAGTGCTCTAAAGTACTGACTGAATGCCATATCTGTCTGCTTCTGAGACATGATAATAAATTTTGAGTCAGGAAAGGACAGCCTTTTCTGTAGCATACTTCACACTTGTAATCACTTGTTTCATATTTTCCTGACTAGAAGTTCTGCTTATTTTTTGACTCTTCCTATCGTACTGAGGCTTAGCCCAGCCCACCCTTCTATTTTCCACAGTCCCCTATGATAGAATGTGTCACTCTTTTGTCCTTGTACTTACTTATCTCCACTGAATAGTTAGACTATTAGCTGCATGTGACAGTGGCTTCTACACAGTTACTTTTAGCTTATGGACCTAGTTAACTCAGTTCTATTGCGTGGTTAGAACTTAACAAGGAACTGCCTCATGAGCAGATGAACATCAATTCTGAGAAGATATACTTACTATTAATGTGTGTCTTTCTCACATAAATTTGAGATCATGTGCAAAAGATTTTGTCTGTTTGGGCTTTTTCTGTTTTGATTTTTGTTTGTTTTTTTCCTGTGAGCGTTCTCTCAGATCATTCTTTGATCTTCTCAAATGTGTATTAAAGCTTTTGTTGAAGATCTAGGAAAATTAAAATAGTAGTAAGCATAAAACAGACAGATTTGCCCCCTTGATCCTAAAATGTATGTCCAAGTTATGTTTGGCATTACCCTGGGAGCAGGTCAGTGGAACAGATTAGAAATCCCGGAAGCAGTGAAATGTATATGAAAAAACTTAGTATTTGGAATTAGTAGAATTAAGACATTATGGAAATTGCTGGGCTTATTTCAGTTAAACAAAGCTAGGAAGACTTCCTGACCATTTGGAAGTAAAGTATAACCTCTGTCATCTTAAACCAAACTTAGCTGTAAGTAGATACTATAAGAAGGTATGTGGGAGTGAGTGGTTTTTAGGGAAGGTGGGGAGAGTCAGCTCTGGGAACCACTTAGCCAAGGAGAATTGAAGGCCTGTGCTCCCCTCTAGCAGTGACCAGTGATAGCTTCCAAAGTAAAATGTCAGTGCCTTGGAGCGAAACACAGAAATTCAGAAAGTCAGCAAAGCTGTTTTTTAGACTAGGGTGTTCAAAGCCCTGCATGTGGCTCCAATACTTGTAGTCATCAGATAAGAGACACTTAACACTGGGAAATGTTAAGAGGCTACAAGTTGATTATTAGAAGAGGAATGAAAGTGGTTCCCTAGTTTGTCATGATTTGGTGAATTTGAAGAACCTAATCTTGACGAGCTTATTAAGATGTATTAGGAGATGACAGGAGGGTGTAGAATTTTGGTACTATGAATGAAGCTTTAATTCTGTGCCTAGAAAACAAATTGATTACAGAAATATGACCGGACCTTGGGCTAGGTTAAAGATGGGCAGAAGGAAAGTGCAGATTAGAAGACTGACAGAGGAGAGCGGCATTGAAACTAACAAGCGTCCTCTTAATCATGTGCCTAGCAACATTTGGACAAGGGCTACCATGTTTCCACCTTTTGCTAGCTCTTAAAATATGCTTGGGGGAAGAAGAATAGTTTAAAATTACAGCTTAATTCAGCATAAAGAATGTTTAGTGTTTGAATTTTAGCTTCTGACAGAATGACAGATAACTAATTCACATTGTTAACTTTTAGATGGTTTGTCTTCTGCTGATCCCAGCTCAGACTGGAATGCACCAGCAGAGGAGTGGGGGAACTGGGTAGATGAAGAAAGAGCTTCACTTTTGAAGTCCCAGGAACCAATCCTCAATGATCAAAGGGTAAGTATAAGGAATTAAGAGATAATTATTCGTTAAAGAGACTGATCCCAGCACTTGGAAGGCAGAGGCAGGCAGATCTCTCTCTGTAAGTTCAAGGCCAGCCTGGTCTACAGAGTAAGTCCCTGAACAACCAGGACTGTTACACAGACAAACCCTGTGTCAACACCCCACCCCACCCCCCAAAAAAAAGGAAGAGAGAGAGAAAGACTCAGGAGAATTCTAGGCTACAGAGGTAGGGACAGTTGAATCTCAGGAAGGAGGAGGTGTTGAACAGCATAAGAAACAGCAGAGTGGTTAGGGACATTAGACCTGGAGGTTGTCACTGTATTTACTTCCTGGGAATTTAGATCATTTTCATTACAAATTTTGGAATCAGGGTTAGGGGTGTAACTCTGTAATAGAGCATGTACTTAGCATGTACAAAGCCTTGGGTTCAAGCCTCATCATCAAAAAAAAAAAAATCTTGGACTAAAAGCCATATTTCAGAAAGTTGAATTGTTAGGAGATTTATGTTAGGAGGCTGGAGTGATGGCCCGAGGTTTAAGAACACTGGCTGCTCTTACAGAGGACTGGACTTGATATTCAACACCTCAGGCACAAAACACAGCATCTGGTGCACAGACAACCAAAACACCCATATACGTAACTGATTTTTTGTTTTGTTTTTTTTTTTTAAGAGAAGTACTAGCAAATAAAAGGTTCAGGGAAAAGATAAGACTGGAGGAGAGGCAGTAGGTTACAGCAATACACAGTATTGGGGGGGGGGGGTGATAGAGATTTTAGCACAGGTGGCAGACTAGTTAGAGAGGAGCCATAGAGACTGATGTGACCCTGTGCTCAGCAGATAAGTTTAGACAGTAAAGAGATGAACTTGGTTTGTACACACTAGTGTGGGCTGGGCTGAGGAGGTGCCTGGTAAAGTGCCGGCTGTACAAGCATGAGGACCTGAGTTCAGTCCCATACCTGGCAGCACAGATCTTTAATCCCTGTGGTCCTTAGCAAGATGGGAGGTGGAGACAGGAGAACCCAGGAAACCCTGAGCCAACACACAGCATTGAACAATGAGAAGATTCTATCTTAAGATGCAAGACAGCCTGAAGTTGCCCTCTGACCTCCATGCCGGTGCCATGGTACAAGTGAGCCTACAGTCCTACAAGCACAGATATGCACATGTGTGTGTGTGCCCCACCAGGGGGACAGAGTTGGATGGATCATAATTTGGTAGCCTCTGCTTTAATAAAATGAGAAGGGTCTAGAATAAAGTTTGAGGGCTAGAGAGAGATGGGGATGTTTGTGCTGCTCAGTTTTAGATCCCTTCCCTAGTATATACGCAAAGCCCTGGATTTAGTCCTTAACACTGCAAAGAAAAAGAAAAAGGGGATGAATTAACGTATGAATAGACACTTGAACTAATCAGTGAGCAAGATCTGAATGATACTGTATATTTCTATAAAATTTTATGTCTTTCATCTAAATTTCTAGGAAATTGAATGGACACAAAATTCAAGGTAGTGAGTGGTCCTTTCCTGGGAGGTATTGAAATAATGGGAGCTAGTGTTTGAGAGTTGTTGGTAATGTTGATTTGAAGCAGTTTTGAGACCGACTCATCCAGCCCAAGCTGGCCTTTAAGTCCTAATCTCCCTATTTCCATCCAGTGAGTTTTTAAGTAATACAAGTTTTATTAAAATTTTGTTAGTCATAGCTTATTCTTATTTAGATTTTAGAAGATAAAGATCAAACATAGTGACTGAAATTATTTCACAGTAATTGTTGTAATATAAACTTAACCAGTTGGGTTTACTTCAGTATTTTGCTTTTAACATCAGATTTCAGATGATGATAAAGAAAAAGGAGAGGGAGCTCTTCCAACTGGAAAATCTAAAAAGAAGAAAAAGAAAAAGAAGAAGCAAGGTGAAGATAACTCTCTCTCACAGGTAAAGTTCCTGAACAGTGAACATTCATTATGATACACCACTGTGGGTGGTATGGAAAGTGATGTCCAGACACTAAGAATATGTAGAGATAAATGACAGCATGAGAACCATCTAAAAAATGTGTGTTTTGCCTGCGTGTGTGTATGTGTACCACATGTGTCCTAGTACCCACAGAGGTCAAAAGAGGCTGTCAGATACCCTGGAATTAGAGTTACAGGTGGTTGTGAATCACCATGTGGACGATGGTGATTGAACCCAGTACCCTTTAAAAGAGCAAGTGATCCTGGCCACTGAACCATCTCTCCTGCCCCCTCCAGTGAGTTTAAAATATGAAAATTGGACATGTGAAAATTAGGACATGTTAGAGAATTGCTACATAGTATTAGTATAATAAAAATTGTATTACCCTGGGTCTGGAGAGATGGCTCAGCAGTTAAGAACACTGGCTTCTCTTCCAGAGGTCCTGAGTTCAATTCCCAGCAACCACACAGTGGCTTACAACCATCTATAATAGGATCTGATGCCTCCTTCTGGTATGTAGGGATACATGCAGAGTACTTACAGATAAAACATAAATAATTTTTTAAGAATTGTATTACCCGGTCTATGTATTCTTTTGCCTCTTCATTCCCTGAGACCTGCTTGAACTCTTAGCCCTCCCCAGTCTCTGACTGTTCTTCATAATGAAATGGTCGTGTTCATCAAGAAGATAGGCAGGGACCTGGGAAATATCTCATTTGATGAAGTGCCTGTAATCCCAGCCTCAGCAGAGAAGGATGGGGTCAGAGACAGTCAGGTCCCTGAAGCTCACTTGTAGCCGGTCTCATCAATTGATGAGTTCCAAGTTCGGCTGCATGCTGAACTTAAATTCACATCAGAATTTTGCGTTCTTCAAACTTACTGCTGTCATGTCACATTCCAAAGAGCATCAGTATTGGAAGGAAACTTTTTAAATGGCATTTGCTTATGTGTATGTGCTTGTACCTGTGCCACAGCATGTGTTTGGAGGTCAGAGGCCAACTTCTGAGAAGTCAGTTCTCTCCATTATGTGGGTTCGTAGTTGTTAGAACAGTCACTAGAGTCTGACATTCTCACGCCTTGACGTGCAGTAAGGTCTGTGTGTTCTTTTCTGTTAGGAAATACCGTCTTTTAAGACAATACAATTTAGTTATGCTCCCATGTAATATTCTAGTGCATGTATTTATTATATATATTGTAATGTTATTTAGAATTAGTTCGTTAAACTTTGAATGTCTAAACAATGAACACGGGAAGCATTAAAACTTAAACAGGACCTTAGAAATTTCCTGGGTGAACTTTTATAGTTAAGAGAAACTAAGAGATTTGTCCCTGGAATTACATGGCTGAGTCATGTCATGACCAGATTGGAGTTCTCTGTATAGACTTTATAATATGTATATGTGAAGACATTACTCCTTGAAGAAGTCACTAAATGAAACTCTGTTTTTAAAGTCTTGTTTCCATTATCAGCCTCTTTGCTGTGTGCTTCTTGTAAGTTAAATATTAGTTTATTCTTTTTGGGTTGGTCTGTTGATAGAATGGTTTCCATTCTAGGGTGTGTTTGTGTTAGTATATGTAATTTAAGGGGCAGGATTTGGGACAGGAGTTCACTCTGTAGCCCAGGCTGACCTAGAGCTTGTCTTCCTGCCTTGACCACCAGGTATTGGGATTACAGGCATAAGCTCACCATGCCTAGCTTGGACACCTTTTTAAGTGAATTTATTTTCTTAGGATGTCTTTGGGACAACAGAGTGGGTTTTAATCAGTAAAGAATGAAGAAATTTAATCTCACAGACAGCTTTCTTCTGCAGGACACAGAAGAACTAGAAAAGGACATTAGAGAAGAGCCTCCCCTGAATACCTCCAAAGCCCG